CCAGTCCCGAAGGCTGCCTGGGCAGATTTATAAGAGATGGGATTTCGTCCCATTTGCCATTTTTGGCGAACTTGAGCTTGAGCAGAAGCGATTTTTGACAAATTTTCAAGGAAAAATATTTGGGTAAGTGATTCTAACTCGGATATGGTCAATATACACGAATATATCATTATTTTCACCATTTAATTAGTGTATTGAGATGGCAATTTGGGGAAATATTTTAGAAATCTCATAAAAATGAATTTTTGAGATTTCAGTGTCGATTCAGAGTCGTATTTGAGTGAAACTAGTATGGTTGGACTCGTAATTGAATGGGTTATCTAATTTTGCAAGTTTCGTCGGATTCCGAGATGTGGGCCCCACGGGCGATTTTTGAGCTAATTTCGGATTTTATTGAAAAATATAGTATTTTCTTATGAAATTGATTCCTATAATTTTTGTTGACTATATCGAATTAATTATGATTAGATACGAGTCGATCGGAGTCGGAAAATAGAGGAAAAGGCATACTACTTGGTTAAATTAGAGCAAGTCGAGGTAAGTGACTTGTCTAACCTTGTGTAGGAGAAATTCCCCCTACGATTGGTATTGAAGTGATAAATTGTAATGTGTTGGAAGTCGTGTACATGAGGTGAAGAGTGTGTACACAGGCTAAATGTGAAAGATTTTATTTTTAAATTGTGTAGATCAATGTTGCGCGTTAATTAAACTATTTTATTATGATATATTCTTCATCATTCATTTAATGGTTATATTTTAAAGTTGCTTGACCTTTTCCTGCTAATTGTATTACCTGTTTAGTTGAAACTTGATTTCTTTTATTCTGTGCATTATTTGAAGTTGATTTTCTTTAAATTAAATATTATTAATATGAAGTATTTGACATTTTTAAATTTGGTATTGAAGCATCGTATTAAAGATTTAAAATATTATTTTGCTGAATTATTTATTCCTGAATATTATTTTTTGTAAGATTTTCGTACTCATTGTGATGGAGTCGTGAGCTATTTATTGTGGAAAAATATTGTTGTTGAAGTATTTTGGCAAGTTAAATTATTTAAGCACTTGAGGTGCAAATTGTTATATATTGTGATGTTGATACGCATGTGGTGGTATAAGGTCTGGGTATTGAAATGCACACGGTGAGATAAGGGTGGCTTGATACGCGTGGCTAGTAGGGGGAACTACTAGAAGTCATGCGGTGTGATAAGGATGGCTAAAACGCGAGATGCTATTTCGGAAAAAAATATTTTCTTTAAAATAAATTGTGAAGGCTCCCGCGGTGAGATAAGAAAATAAGATATTGTGAATTTATTTATAATTTGGGAGTACGAGGTGGTACCTCGGGAGTGCCCTGGTTGATATTGATTTATGGCCGCAGTTGCCTTTGATTATTTGTTGTGATTTTCTTAAAGTTGAAAAGAATTATGTATTGATTCCCCGAGATATTATTTGCCATTATTTTGTGTAATTAAATGGTGACATGCTATTTGATTCATTTCCATTTTAATTTTATTTTATTATATTTATAAATATTTTACCATGAAATTATTATTTTCAAGTAGGGCCTGACCTGACCTCGTCACTCTACTCTACCGAGGTTAGGCTTGGCACTTACTGGGTACCGATGTGGTTTACTCATACTACGCTTCTGCACATCTTTTTGTACAGATCCAGGTACTTCTTACCAGCCCAGATATCAGTGAGTACCTGTGCACGGAGACTTCGAGGTATATCTGCGAGCGTCCGCAGACTCCGGAGTCCCCTTCTATTATTGTTATGTTGCTTCCTTATTTTTTTAGACTCTGTTATATAGAGACATTGAGGATAAATTCTTAGAAACTTGTGACTTATTTCTACCGGATTTTGGGAGTTGAAATTATTTTGAATTGTAGTTTATTTATTTCAGATATTTATTATTATTTCGCATTGATAGGCTTACCTAGTCTTAAAGATTAGGTGCCATCACGACATCCTACAGAGGAAATTTGGGGTCGTGATAGTACTGGGCCTGAATCAAACAGACTTTATTACCTTATCCTTGCTAAATCACATAGACTCACATCTTATCTTCCTTCTGCAACTTGTCATATTACTGATTCACCAGATTTATTATATAAACAGTTGGGACATCCCAGTTTGTCAAAACTTCAGAAAATGGTATCTGGTTTATCTCACTTGTTAGCTCTAGAGTGTGAGTTATGCCAGCTCGGTAAGCATACTCGCTCCCATTTACCTCGGCTTCTTGAAATCTCATGGGATTATTCATCAAGCATCTTGTCCGTACACATCTCAACAAAATGGGGTAGCTGAAAGAAAGAATAGACATCTTATTGAAACTGCTCGTACCCTACTCATACAATCTCATGCTCTGTTGCATTTTTAGAGGGATGCAGTTCTTACATCTTGATATCTTATTAATCGTATGCCATCTTCAGCTATACAGAACCAAGTTCCATTCTCTGTCATGTTTCCCAACTTATCTTTGTTCTCTATTCCACCCCGTATCTTTGGAAGCACTTCTTTTGTCCATAACTTTACTCCAGGAACAAATAAGTTAGCTCCTCGTGCTATTAAGTGCGTATTTCTAAATTTCTTGAGAACACAAAAGGGGTATCGATGCTACTCTCCTGACCTCTAGCAGTACCTTATGTCCGTTGATGTTTCCTTCTTTGAAACCCAATCATACTTCACAAGTTCAGGTCATCACTTAGATATTTTTGAGGTACTACCAGTTTTATCTTTTGGAGATTCAGTCACTCCAACTCCACCACCTACAACTCGGGACCTCAACCAATTATATCAACAAGTTCCATAACATAACATGGACCTACTCGAGGCCTCAAATCACACCTAACAATATTGAAACGATGAATTACTCCTCAATTAAAAATCAACGAACTTTGAACTTTTAAATTTTACATCTTGTGCCGAAACATATCAAATCAATCCGAAATGACTTCAAATTTTGCGCACAAGTCACATTTCACATTACGGACCTATTTCAATTTTCAGAATTGGATTCCGACCTCGATATCAAAAAGTCAAACTTCCCAAAAATTCACTTTCAGCAATTTAAGCCAAATTTCACTACGGACCTTCAAATAATTTTTCGGACACACTCCTAAGTCCAAAATCACCATACAGAGCTATTGAAATCATCAAAATTTGAATCCGAGGTCATTTATACATAAGTCCATATCTGATTGGTGGCAACTGCAATAAATCGTTCTATCCACCCACGATTGTTGTCATCATCCATGCTAGATAACAGAGCATGGTGTCCATGTTTGCTGAAATTTATTATTCCCCCGCTAAAGATAGCTCCTCTCCCCTATCTTGGCACATGCGTCGAAGACAGGCAATCGTTCTCCAAACAAAAGGACCTACTTGTGCCAAACATACCTGATACCAGAAGCAGAACTCCGCAATAACGGAGTCAAGCTCTCCATTCAAAGAGAACACACCCAAAGTAAATGGATACGTGTAAAAATATATAAAATCCTCCTTGGGAAGGGTCACTCGCTCTGATAGATCAGGAGCAATAATATCCAAATCATGGCAACAACAGTCTTCCTTCATAACTGGAATACTGGAAGTACGGATGGAAGAAGGATATCTTCAATAGCCCATGTGTGAGGGAGAGCCGAAGGGAATTTCTCTTTGAAGTCTTTTGTTGTAACAAGACTTCTAGGAATGATGGAATCCACCGTTAGAGGAGCAACATCCTCGGCTTTGTTCTTGCCCTTTGAAGAGCTAACGTTCTTTGAAGAAGAAGCCATTTGGATGAAAGAAAAGCTTTTTTTGTTTGAAGGGAGTTAAAGAAAGGTTTATTAACAGCACGAAAGGTTATAGAAAACTTGGAAAATTATGGATTATAAGGGGAGAAGGGTGATGCGTATAAGTAAAAGTTTTGGCGGCTAAATTTATGGCTATGATTATCTCGATAATTGGCAAAAGATGTGATAAATCGTGGGATGATGCGTGTTCGGGGCATTAAATGCGGAGAGACGTGCGTCTAATCAATCGTCAGAAGCCTTTAGAAGGGATCATAGTAATTCCCGCCAAAAGAGTGTTTGTGCCAACTTTCCGGTGACACGCAGTTATGTCACCGAAAAGCAGGGAGACTATCTGTATAGGGTAAAATATTCTATGCTACGTGGCCGCCCAAAAGAGGGACACGTGGAACCTAAGACGGGGGATAGCCAAAATCGAAGGCAATAGTCCTGTCTGTCACCGGAAAGAATAACGCTCATAAGGATGCAATAAATACTCTTCTCCCGGTAGCATTTAATGGAGAATATTCCACAACATAAAGTACGTTGCCCGTTACAAGGAATTTGACATTTATGCTCACCGTTACATCTCAATGACCCTCATAATTGACATTAAAGAAGGGCACGATCCTAGGACCTCCTTTCCTAGACGTAGTTATAAATAGTGAGTTATGTTATCATTGTAAGAGGACGAATTTTCTGGCAAACTAATACTACAATCTACTCAAAGCTCTAATGAATTTTATCTTCTTATTTTCTGTTCTTATTACTATTGCGCCCAGAGGCTTCACTACCAGAGTCTTTATTTCTGTCATTTCGTCTTCCTATCAAGGCTAAGTGTTATATTTTTCTTCAATTATCTTGTTATTTCAGGATCGAATTAATTCACTAGTCTAGAAACTACGTATAAATTCAACTGTACCGTTTTACGAGTAAACATATACAAAATATATATAAATTTTATACATTTTTCGGCTATTATTTTTATAGCGGCTATACAGTGTCATTTTTTCATTTTTGTCCCGCTTGCCCCGTGAGGAAACTTCAAGTTTGACCTTAAAATTATGCCCAAGAGACAAACGGGATCAAAAGGTAAGTGTCATAAAATTCTGCAATTTATTGAAATGCAATAGTTTAAGAAAATGAGCCCAAAACAATGCAAGTTGACCAAAGCCCATAGCATCTTCTATTCTTGTTCTTTGGCGTTTGAAAGAGATCCATTTCTGAAAAGAAGGCCACGCATCGGCCAATAGCACCACCACTTTCAAAATCTTGCCACCACAACTCCTCTCTGTGTCCTCTGGAACTGCTTACGTTCTCTTCCACTGACGGAATCAAATTGTATGTTTCCCTTTTTCTCTCTGTAATTTTGTCAAAAATTCTTGTCCTTTGTTTTTTCTGTGATTTTTAGTGAATATTATCTGAGGTATACTTAATTGTTTGGGATAGTTTCGATCCATTTTAAGCATATTGTCTTAGCTATACTTGATTTTAAGCTCTTAAACTTAGATGAATTGCCCCCACTTTGCATTTTGTTAGCATCTGAAATTACAGCTAAAAGATAGAAACTTCGCATTTTTTAGAGTTCTTTCCCTTGCTATTTGCTGAATTTTCTTAATCCTCTTAGATATATTATTAGGAATATGATTCGTATAATAGATTAAATTTTGTATGACCATTTCTTTTGTTTCAGTAGGAGAAAAACTTTTTTTTACTGTTGTGAAGCATAACTATCCTTTCATTTCTTGAGCATGAAGGTAGCCGGGGTGTGCATAGTTGTTTGAATCCAACAATTAAGCAACAATCTATAAATTTGATCTTAGAATTGGATTTTTTTTTTTTGTTCCCAATTCTAATTTTTGGTCGCATAGTTTCATTGCAAGCATTGCCCTTTCAAGTGTGATTGTACAGTTTGATGGTTGTGTTATTGTCGCATTCATTCTTGAGGTCATAAAACTCATGTTTTGATGTATTATAGTGTAACAACCCAACCTACTAGTGGTATTGTCTTCTTTGGACCTAGGTCCGCACGGCTTTAAAATGCGTCAATAGTATCTGAGGCTTGTTTCCTTATATACGCAACATATCTTATGTGTTTTGCCGATGTGAGATTTGCCTAGGGTATTTACATGTACACACCTCCATAGGGACTCAGCGCTCCAACTGAGGTTTGTTCCACCACCTTCTCAAAGATGTGAATTTTCCTAAATGCAGTTGAACACTGAGGTTTGCCCCACCATTTCCCAAGGTTGCACGCGGAGTGGCTCCCATGGCTTCTATAATAGCCTAGTCCACCGGTGATATTGTCCGCTTTGGATCTAGATATGCACGGCTTTAGAGTGTGTCATTAGGGTCTAATGTTTGCTTCCTTATAACCCAACATCTCTTCCGCGCTTTGCCGATGTGGTATGCCTAGAGTGTCATATATAGGGTTTCCGTTGTCCTTGTGGTAAATATTTGGAAGTAAAATGTCTTGCAACCCCTAAGGCTCGTCAAATAAGTACCATTTCTCTTCTATTCTGTTTCATAAGAGTGACTAAGTTCTCTTTTTGTGGGGGAGGGAGGAAGACCTCAAGCTCCTGTAATGCTTCAAGAAATTTACTTTAAATTCTTCTTAAAGGAATAGATTAGGAATGGTCTACGTAACATTGAGCCAATACATTTTAAGCTTTCTTAGAAGTGGATCAATTTGTGTTTCGTTCTGTACTCCCTACTAAACTTACTCGTGTTCATTATCCTTAGAAATAGTATTATTAATAGTGTTGTTCCACGCTTAAAGTTACAAGGCGATGTGAAATGTTGTATTAGGCTTCTAATTGGAGAAAGGATGCGATTTGGAAGAGCATAGTGAGTCGTAAAGCGATTGAAGCTAGAAGCAGTTGCTCCGTTGAATCTGGCTTTAGAGATGAAAAGGAAAAGGGAGGAGGAAAATTGGGCCTTTTGCTACCTGTGTACTAGGAGTCCTCTCCATGTACTCTTCTATGTTCTCCTTAGTTGCTGTTTTATGCATTTTCTTAAGACACCGCTTAGAATGGACAGGTTTGCATTTAATTCTGTTTCTTCATAACCCATTTAAACCTACCCCATACAGAATACCAGTCTACCCGTTTCCCAGCTATACATTTCAGCAGCGAAAGGTTGACAATAATGTTTTTCCTCATGCAAGAAACAAGAAATAATGTTGAACCCTGGTTGTCGTCCACTGTCTAATAACTCTTATAAAACAATTCTTTGATGAAATGGAAAACAATTCAAAGCCAAATAGTTTTTCCAGAAACCCTTTAAGGTCTGTTGAAGCATATATCGACTTGTCATATCCGTGTATTGCCTGTCCTCCATGTCATGCCAAGTTAATTTGTATGTATGAATATAGGTATAAATCAGTTCTATTTCTCCTTTTCATTTTGTTTTCTTGCTGAAAAAGAAATGGTTGTCTTTCCCTGCTTCTCTTCCTTCCCTATATTAATAGTTCATCTGTACTTGATGCTATGTTGTTGATATTTATACTCATGCTAATGACTGTAGGAAAACCGCACTAGGGATTGAAATGAATGGTGCTTCCTCATCCGGTGGTGTAAGAGCTGCTTTATCCTATTGTGTGCAGCAAGTACGAAGTTATGATTATCATCACTACCTTTGCCTTCTTGAACTTCCTATAAACATGCGGAAGGCTGCATTTGCACTCCGAGCTTTCAATGTGGAGACGTCCCGAGCTATGGACGTTGCTTCTGATCCGAGAATTGGTCTTATGCGCTTGCTGTGGTGGCAAGAAGCTTTGGACAAGATCTATTCCAACCAGTTAATTGAGCATCCAGTAGCTCAGGCCCTCGCTTCTGTGGTATCTGAGCACAAGGTTAGCAAAAGTTGGCTGAAACGAGCCGTGGAAGCTCTAATAAATGATGCAAAAAGAGAAAATAATGAAATTCCACAAACTGTTGAAGAATTGGAGCGATATGCTGAGGACACAACTTCAACTATTTTGTACTCTACACTTCAAGCAGGTGGTATTAGATCCACAACGGCAGACCATGCTGCTTCACATATTGGTAAGGCAAGCGGCCTTCTTTTGCTGCTTAAATCACTGCCATACCATGCTAGTCGAAACCATCAGTTTTCATATATACCAGCCAAGGTGGCTGAGAAACACGGATTGTTGGTTCACCAAAGTGGTCAGTCAGAGATCAGAAAGGACTCGCGCGAGGCTCTTTGTGATGCAGTATTTGAAATGGCATCTGTCGCTAATTCGCATTTGCAGAAGGCTCGAGAATTGGCTGGAAGTGTGCCAGCTGAAGCTCTCCCTGTACTTTTGCCTGCTGTGCCTGCCCAGGTTATTTTAGATTCTTTTACTCGGGTGCAGTTTGATGTGTATGATCCACGGCTGACACGTGGAATTTTAGGGGTACCCCCTTTGTTGTTTCAGTTGAAACTGAAATGGTATTCATGGAGGGGTAAATACTGACATTACCTTTATGCCTCTGTTAGCTCCTTTAGCGTTGGTCATCCGCCATTGTTTTCTGGTTTTATCAGATCAACGTGTGAAGCGTGGATGAATATTATTTGTAGAATATGCGTCTTAAGCAAGTTTAATATCTATGCTAACCCGTGAAGGCAGTAACTGGCATTACAAGTATGAATTTTTGATGAGTAATTAAATTCTCACATGGATAAAATGATGATTCGGCGGTTAGTATGTCTGGTGTTTCATCCTTACACAGAAAGAGGACAACATCAACTTCAAGTGTTTAAATAAATTTCTGCGAGTACTCTTATCTGTTTTGACATTCTCATGTTCACTCTGGATTGCTGCTTGGTAGTTTGTTGGCACCATATTGCTTTGGTAGTTTGGAAGTAGCGGAGAATTTAATCATAATCTGTTATTTTACCTTCTTTTAATGCATAGCCAGAAACTTGAGGAGAGGCAAATGAGTCGGATTCAGTAAGCAATATCTACTAACCATTTGCACTTTGTTTCTTTTCAATGTTCTCTTCTATGTCATCTCAATCTTGGGATATTGAGTTGTTTCCAGGCCTATTGTACCATATTTTGTCAAAAACATTGATAAGTGTAATGCACTGTAATAGAGCTTCAATGCCTTTTTCAACTCCAAGACTTCTTTATTTCACATATCATACTGGTTAGAGAAAGTGAGCAAAGTTTTATATGCTTTCATTCTTCTCATTGTTATACAACCTACTGGTATTGCATCCACAAGTTTTTCCTAGCGGTCAATGAAATGAGCGAACAATCATGAGATATTAGGGTTCTAATCTGAGCATAGAAAAATCGTTAGATAATTTCTTCCATATGTAGTTATCGGGTAATTATGCTGGTGGGATTTAGCTAGTACACTAAACTGGCTTGGGCACTACTGTTATCAAATACACACAGGTGTTGAATGAAACAAACAAAACGCTAATGCAAAACCAATAATGCCTATGATTTCTTTGTTTATAATGAAGGGGAGCCTTGGCGTAATTGGTAAAGTTGTTGTCATGTGACCAGGAAGTCACGGGTTTGAGCGGTGGAAACAACCTCTTGCAGAAATGCAGGGTAAGGCTGCGTACGATAGACCCTTGTGGTCCGGCCCTTTCCCGGACCTTGCGCATAGCGGGAGCTTAGTGCACCGGGTTGCCCTAATGAAATATTACTTTTTTATTTTTAATTTTTGAAGGGGAGCCTTGGCGTAACTGGCAAAGTTGTTGTCATGAGACCAAGAGGTCACATGCTCAAGCTGTGGAAACAGTCTCTTGCAGAAATGCAGAGTAAGGCTATATACAATAGACTCTTGTGGTTCGGCTCTTTCCCGGACCTCGCGCATCGCGGGAGCTTAGTGCACCGGGCTGCCTTTTTTTAATTTTTGTCCCCATTCTTTTGTCATATGACATACTGGTGATGAATAAAACAATCATATTGTAAGAGTACCAGAAAGAAAAATAATGCTCCATTTATGACCATATTATAAACTAATTGACAGCTTAAATGTTGATTTACTTGTCTCTTATTCAGGTTTAAAAAGAATATAGTTCAAATTTTTTGTATGTTTCCATTCTTCTCATTGTCACAAAGCAAACAGATGGTGAATAAAACAACCATGTGATAGAGTACCAGAATTGTCTCATAATCAGATAAATTGACAGCTTAAAGTGGATTTGTTTGTTTCTGATTTGGATAGAAAAGTGAAGCAAAGTTTTTATGTATTCATTATTATCATTGCCATATAGCATACTGGTAATGAATAAAACAACAGAATGCTTGTACCATAAAAAGAATATTTAAAATAATAATTGCCCATGTTATCTCATGCTTAAGTAATTGACAGCTTAAAGTGGATGTAGTTGTTTCTGATTCAGAGTAAAAAGGATACTAAAGTTTAATTTCTCATGATTAAGTAATTGAGACCTTACGGCTTGTTTGGATTATATTGTTACATGTCGTTTTCATAATGTATCGTGTTGTATTTTACTGCATTGTATTGTATTGTTTGATGAATACAACGTTTGGATAAATTGTATCGTTTACCGTCGTCGCATGATGTCAAACACCAACAATATGAAAAATAAACTTGCAATATTACTAAGAAAAAATATGATACAAAGTAGAATTATTATATAAAAAAGTATGATAAACGATAAAATATGATTATTTAATAATAATGAAGGGCAAGATGAGAGAAAAAAAGTAAGGAAACGACGCCACCACACCAAATTCGTCGTTCCATAAAGTGACACTTTCCGTCGTTACGTAACGATAAATTTAATTGCATGATAAGTTGGTTTGAACGAATGGAGTAAAGTTTTATACGTTATCATTCTTTCTATTGTCATATAGCGTACTGGTGGTGACCACGTTCGAAGTTACATTATCCAAAGTCGATTGAAAAATTACACTTGTGTATATAAATAAATTATTAGATTTTAAAGGTGTATAATATATATTGAACGTCCTTTGTCGAAAAAAATTTCTCGCTTCTTTCAATCTCTTTTCTTGAAAAACCTCCACAATGCATCAACCTAAAGATTTGGATAGACCGAAAGTCATGTAACATGGTTCATTTAGTGAGTTGATCGCTTAAATTGTCACTTAACTAATAGAAATTTTGTAAAAAAAATCACTTTTCTTTATTTTGTCAAAGAAAAATCATTCTATTTTGGCCAATTCACATAAACAGTTACTCTAAGAATTAAGGTAAATTGAGGTCGAAGAAATTCAACAAATACTCTGTACAAATATTATATCATCCACACCCTAAGAACCCAAGCTTTGACATAACTGTAAAAACTTTTACATACATTTTTTTCTTTCTTTTTAGAAAGGACAAAATAAAATATTAAACTAAGCTTCCGTACTTCCGGAAAAGAGACCGAGTGGAATCAAAGAAACTAGAGAACTGATCACTAAAACAGAATAACAAACCTTAACATGGTCATAATCGGAGCGGAAATTAAGTAGTGAATCAAAAACTACTTACACTACTTTCTCCATAAACATTTATTAAAAAAAAATAGTATACTTTTAAATTTCAGATTAGTCTCTGATCACAACTCACCAGTACTTGTGCCTCCAGCTCTGCCTTCCACGGCGTCTTCCACCACCACCCGTGGCGGCGATTCTTGATTGAACGTACTCGAATTCGGATATCCGACAAGGGATTTGGATCCCACCCGAATGATTGAACCCATATTCCATTTCAGTCTCTCTCAACAAATCAGCAAATAAAGGATGATTAAAGTAAATCACAGGCACTAAAACTCTACATGCATTATCCTCTTTTTCACCAACGTACACAGCCAAATGACCCTTTGGTACAATCATTTCCTTCTGCTCCATGAAATCTTGCCCGACCCGAATATAACCCGAATTTGGTCTTGTAAAATTAAGACCTTTAGCACCATACTTCAACAAATTTCCCAAATTACATAGCTTTGAAATTGCTCTTGTTGCATAATTAGAGGATCCTAACCGTTTGTAGCTGATTCTTCCCCTTCTTCTCCTATGAATAAACCACTTGAAAACTCTCACTAGCCTTCTTCCAATCCTGAATCCTCTCACTTTCCCCATACTTTTATTAACTGATTCGGAAGATAAACTATCAGTTAATGACGTGTTTGATGCTTGTTGCCAAGATAGATATTTTACCGTCTCGATATAAGAACTGACGCTTTCTAACCCACTATAATTATAGATGATTTCCGCCTCGAAGGAGGTCTAAGGATGGTAGTGTGTACGCAGAGACCTTCCTCTACCTTGAAGGTATCTCCGCCTCGAGATCAACAACAACAACAATAGCAAATCTAGGGTAACCCCAACAGTGGGGTTTGGGGAGAATAGTATATACGCAGATCTTACCCTACCTTAAAAGATATTTCCGCCTGGAGATCAAAAGTATCAATTTTTTCTTTGGTAGAATAAAGGGGATTCTTGAAATTGGCTATTGATAAAGCATTTCAAGAAGTTGTAACTGAAAATCTGAAGTTGAATGGAGTTTAATATTGATGGAGTACTTTTTTTTAGGGACCGTTTGGCTTCTTGTAGAGTAGTAATGGTGATGATAAAGTAGTATTAATTAAAAGAAAGTAAAGAGCCAAAGACTAACTATCAATGGGATAAAAAAGGAAGCAAAGAGCCAAAGACTAACTATAAATGGGACAAGAAAGGACAATACGTATATAGAGGATTTATATAGCTTACTTTGATTTGTTTTGAACTGAGACCAGTTATTATTGCAACCAAGAATAATAAGTCAAGAGATAGTACTATAACAAGTTGTACAAACAAAACAAGAATGAGGTTTTCTTGTTGTAGATGACTATGTATATGATGTGGAGGATTATGGCAAGTCAAACATGGTGGAAGTATACATAACTATGTATATATAGCATTTTTTTTTGGTAGATGAAAGATGAAGTGGCTGGCACAAACAAAAGTGAGACTTGATCAGAAAAATTGTTTGACTTTGAGATTTATATTGTGAAGGAAAATAAATATGTGAAAAAATCCTTAAGTGATTTTTTGTAATTATGTCATTAACTAAAATTTGCACGAAGTATTACAAGAAATTACATTCCTCATTTGACAATTAAATTAACTCTCATTTCAAGAAGTAAGATTATATTATTAAATATTAAGGTATATATATATTACGAGCAAAAAATCTCTTGCTAGTGAAAGTAAGAATAGCAAGGTTAGGATCACACTTACTATCAAATGGTACTGAAGTAAATTCATAACGTAATATGTTAAAAGTTTATTTTTTATTGTCCTAGTTTTTTTTATTCTTAGTTGATCCCTAAAATGATTTTTAAAAAAAATATGGGTAAAGAGAGGGACAATGAAGAAGGGAGGTCAGCTGAATTGAAGTTGTAATGTTTCATGGCTATATGGAGTTTCAGGGGCCAGTAATTACAAAATATAATTAAAAAAAATTGAAGAGGGTATTTATTGTTTTTTTAATGGTGTTTGATTTTGATGTTTGAATTAAAATAATATTATATCTATTGTATTTTTCAAAATGACTTAATTTTTTAAAAGGTAGATCTCCGTGAAAGTTGCACGTAGGGTCATTTTCATTTTTTGGACTCACTGTTTTATGTTGAATATGACCAATTCTTTTAGCTACAAAAATTGGAATAATTTAATGAATTTTAGTGGGCATTATTTTATGTTGTCTTTACATTTGTGCCACGTAAGTCCATTGACGAGGTTTTTTTTTGGGATACTTCAAGTGGTACGGAACTTCCAATATGTTTACTGTTATTATTTGTCCTTTTCAAATTCTTGGTACGAATTCTGGCCACTTTGTACGAAGCATGCGTTAAGAGTTAAGGATTGTTCTTTAGTAATTAGTAATATGTTTAGTTTCAGTTTTTTAGTTTAATTTATTAAGACACAAAGTTTTAAAGTTAAAATTTTTAATTCAAATTTTTAGGACAAAAATAGTATTGGCCAATATCTATATAGCATCTTTAAGAACGGTTATTTGTGTACTTTGCCGAAGTATGTCCCCAAAATTGCAATGGTTTTTTTCTTTTAGTTATATGGTCTTTTTCATAATAGATTGATAAATTATAACATACATATTGATAGATAAAATACAAGACATATTTGCAAAGTTATTTTTTTAATTCAAATTATAATTTATCATAAGATATTTCCTCGAGTTTCACTTCTCTACTTAGAGCTTCCTTATGTAATTTAGTTTCCTCATTTATGCATTTTACAAATTACATATAGGATAAAAAAAAAACAAATTCAAAAGTAATTCATCTAAAATCAAATTCAAAGCTAGACTATACAAAAAAAAAAGATGTATATAATATGCGAAGTTTAAGTAATACATACCAACAGTAAAAAGACACTTACATGAAACTAATAACCTACAAAACATGATAAATAACTTGTTATATGAAATAAAACTATACTGATAGTGTACAATATTTTTATACGGAGTATATAATTTAATTAAATAAATTTCAGCTCACGGCACTTTTCAATCTTTTTCTTTTGTCGGAATTGAAAAAAAACAAATCTAAGAAAAATGACCTTCACTTCACTATGATATCAAAATTTCCTTTTTGGTTAGGAATGGGGTCAAACTGAAAGAGATGTAGAAGAATTAATTTAGGAATTAGTTAGGGAGTAAGTAAACTGATGGAGTGATGGCTAATGAAGTAATGGGAGTAAATTCAATCTCAACGCCTTGAATTCTCCTTTAATATTTAGAAAAAAAAAAGTTATTTGGATTACTGAACAAAATATTACATTCATTTTTATTTAGTGATCATATTTCACTTTTCGAGAGTTAAATTACATGAACTTTGATTAATTTTAAAGAAGAATGACAAATTATATTACTTTTCGTATAGTCTTTGAATATTCAATATTAAAATAATCTAATCCAATTTAATTTTAAAGAATAGCCAAATTAAATATTGAGAAGCGAAACATAACAAGTAAATTACATTAATGTCGTTTTGCTTCACGGGTGTGATTAACGAAGGTGGATTAAGCTGGTCTTCCTTGTCGGTATTCTCAAACAATTAAATAGATTTATGAGTTTAAATACAATATATTGTTTGCCTCCGTTGGAATTGTGCAAACTTTATTGTCATTAATCAATATCCCTCGGAAGTTTAGTGTATTTTTTTTTTGTTTTTCACCCGGTGTTCGGTATCCATATTGGGGTTCGACTAAAGCGCTCCCTAACAAAGGCGACTCTATACTTAGAGACTCGAACTCGAGACTTCTAGTTAAGGATGAAGGAGTACTTACTACTCCACCACAATCTTTGTTGGTGAAGTTTATTGTATCCGTTACACATTTAGGAGAGAATAACAACAACAACAACAACAACAACAACAACAACAACAACAACAACAACAACAATCCAGTATAATNACTTTTTTATTAATTATTATTGATAATGATGGTATCTCAATAATTTCATCGGGTATCTGCTTCATATACATAAAAGAATAGTACCTTAGAAAAGTGAAATTGTACGCCTAAAATGTTGGTGTACTTGTAAATTAGCTTGGATACATATGTGAAGTAGAGGAGGAAGCGATTTAAATAGCTTGAAAAAAGTTAAATCTCAATAATTAATCACTTTAATTTTGCCAAGTTCTCTTCCATCAACCCTGTAACTACTATTTAAATCCATGATTTTTGAAATAAATTGATCACCTTTGTTCTGCCAATTTGTTTTCCTCCCCCCTACATGTCTCCCTCTCACATGTATTAATTTTCGTTTTATGAATTTTTAAACTGGTAGGAGTCAGTCTAAGCCCAATTAAGATTAATTTTAAAAAAAATGTAATATCGAATTCCTCCAGAAAAAAATGTAATATCGAATTCTTAAATTATATATTTTTAAAAATATTATTAAATCGTTGCACGACTTAGATTGAAATATTTAAGTCTAGAGATGTCAATGATACCATGTTCAATGAGAGAAAATATTTTAAAAATAATTATGGTAATGTCAACCACTACATTTGATATTAATTCATTCCTTTCCTTGTGTTAAAAAATCAAATAAAAAATAAATTTTCTCATTTCAACTTCCTTACTTTGCTTTCTTTTGTATTTTTTTCCTATTCCCTTCATTTTTCTTATTCTTTGACATTTTATTCTATTATATTTTAGCCACTATAAGTACTTGGATTTATTAATAGACGGAGTTATCCAAATCTGACTGTTTTGATTGGATTAGGTCCTAACCAACAAGCAATCAGTTGACTTTATAGGGGAATCAACGTGAAAAAATTCAAATTTAAGCTTACTCATAATCGGATTTAGGAATTGAAGGTGACGGATGCCATAATTTCTTTTACTGTATACCTTGTAATGGCTAACACGGAATTTGTTAGAAACATTTATTCTTTTTTCTTTCTTTTTTATAGTTTATTTGGGTCAACCTAATAGGCATTTTTTATTTGTAAATATAAAAATTACATCTCGAATATAAAAAACAAACGTAATTAGTATTTTAAATAAGGAATCGCACATTTATTATAACAACATAAGTAAAATTAATATTTTTACTAGAAGATTATATCTTTTTCTGTATATTAAAAATACATTTACACAAGTAAGATAACATCTTCAATAAGGGAATAACATCAATCAGAATAAGAAAATTTAAAAGTATCTTCAATAGATGAATTATACCCCATAAGTATAAAATTAAATTAACTACAAGTTCCCAAAAATCAACATCACAAATCTCATATTTTTTTAAGCAATGCTTACAAAATTTTCGTCATAATTTAATAAAGAGATTTAAATTTTATTTAATAACCATAGAATAACACAAATCTTTATGATATAATATAAAGATGAATTATTTTTATCTCAATCCAAAATTCCCATTAAAACCCAAGTTTTTCGGATTTGAAAGAAGAAAACTCATAAATTTTAGATTAAGAGGAATGCTTATTTTATATAATTTTAATATTTTGGAGTCTCTTTTTTGAGTGTTCTTGTTAGAAACTACATATAAAATAATAAAATAGAGAAAAAAAAAATATAAAAATAATTAAACGACAAATATAAAATTTGGAGGAGTAACCGAAGAGGAAAATCACTGGGACAAAAGGAAATAAAAAGCACAAAGAAATGAAAAAGTTGGACAAGGTTCAAGATAAATTCCAACTTGAATTAATTTTACACACGAGATAATCTTTCAAAAAGATCCACTTCTAGTTTACGGTTGTGGGTGGCAGGATCAGATATTTAACCTAGTTTAAGAAAATTTAAACATAAGTACATAAAAAATTTATCATCTTAGCGGGTGCCATGCCACCCCTTCCTAAAGGGGTGGATCCGCCACTGGCTGAACCATATCTTTTTTAATTTTTGAAAAAAAAGGGAATTTAGATTTATATAAGTGTCTGATGATATTTCTTTACGTGCAAATTAGTAAACTCAAAATTTTTTCTGATTTTAAGGCATGTTAAACTTGCTCAATCCGTCAAAAAGTGGACTATACCAATACATGTATCTTGTTTTTGGGTTTTCACCCGATTTTCGGTGCTTGTTGGTCTGATAATCCGGAGTGAAGCTTATTTTGACGACAGTAAAGTTTTCTACCAAATCTGACTTTATTTTCAGGGCTCAAATCTGATTTTTTTAATTAACGTTAAAGGTATACTTATCACTTGCCACAATCTTTAGTGATACTTGCACCAATTAGAAAAACGAAATTGATAGACATCTTTCAAAACACAGTAAAATTATTATAGTGGATTCTTAAAATAGTACTCGTGCCATA